CTGAATATTACCCAGCAGCACCCAGACAGATCCCTGTCTCTCTCAATATTACCCAGCAGCCCCCACTCAGACAGATCCCTGTCTCTTTGAATATTACCCAGCAGCCCCCACCCAGACAGATCCCTGTCTCTCTGAATATTACCCAGCAGCCCCCAGACAGAGTCCTGTCTCTCTGAATATTGCCTGTCAGGCCCCCTCGATGAAGACGACCAGCCACATGGTTTCTGCACCATCACCTACTCGTCCAGTGATCGCTTCGAGGGGCACTTTCTGCATGGGGAAAAGAACGGCAAGGGGAAGTTCTACTTCTTTGATGGCAGGTAGGGAATTTCCCTCAACTTTTTTTTTTTTTTTTTTTTATGATTAAAGATCAGATATGACACAAGTTTTCCTGATGTTCCTCCTTGGGTTGCTTTCGCTTTTTATTATGCGCAGGGTGATCATTTCACCTTCACCAGAGTATTTTCTTTCAGTGCTTCTATGTCAGATGTCACCTCTTAATGTTATTTTGCATCAGTGATTCCAAACTGAATTCCTCATAAGTTCCCAGAAGTCAAATGCTGTGATAATTCACACCCGCCGTTAAAATCCATAGTGTCCATGTTATACTTTGGGATCCGACTGGACATTACTCGCGCGCGGGGGGGGGGGGGGAAGAAGCAGCTTATTGTGAATTCACTGTCGTACAATGAGCATTAGATGCCATCTCTGCTCTGATTCTCTGTAATGACGCTAACAGAGTGCACTGTGTTTGCCCCCCCCCAACATTTCATGATCACGGAGAATGTTTAGTTCAGTTGAAATGTTTTTTTTTTTTCTCCCCAATTTAGGCAGAGTAAAAACAGAACGGCGATTTGTATCCTAAATAGGCTTGACTAACAACCGGTAACGGGGTTAATGCTGATCATCTTATTGCATTAGCGTCTGTCTCCAGCTATCTCGCTCTGCGTGTCGTGCAAGTTCGCTCTTATGCTAAAACGAGTTTCCAAGATGGTGTAAGAAATGCTGAGGGGCGTATGCCAGGGAAGCAGGGTGGTCCTGCCAGGCGTGGCCTCATTTAGCAGTGACCTTTGACCCCTCCCCTTCTCTGTGACGTCATCCATGGCCACGCGCCATAGGGAAAACGATGTTGCCGTTTCCCTGGTTGTGTGAGTACAGCTGAGGCATTAAAACATTTTTGTTGGCTTGTTACCTCCTCAAACACAATCCTCTTCTGATTTACAATACTGACACCACTAGTGGTGTAAACAGCAGTGAGCCAAGAAGGATAATTCTACCTGGACGGTGTGTCGAGAGAGCACAGGAAATTTACGGACCTCCATAATTTTCCCTCTCTTGGTTGTGTGTAATTATTTCCGTCCGTACAATCTATTAAAGCCACCAGGACATTGTGTAAAACGATCAATTGCTGTTTTATGGATGGGCTGATGGTTTGTTGGTTGCTTAGAGGATATTAAGTTTTAGTAAGGAAGTTAATTAGCTCATCATGTTGTATTATGATAATTTTTTTGGATGGTACCAAAGTTTACATGAGCAGTCAGGCTACAGGCTGTAATGTTCTGCAGGAGGGGAGAGAGAGGGAGGGAGGGAGAGAGAGGGATTCTGTTTGAGTTTGAATTCCTTCCTAAAAAATTTGGGTATAGATGTATTCATGTTCTAGGATTTGTGCAGTGTAGCAGAATGCTGAGAAAGGGCTAGCTGCCTGTTAACCTGCCCCCCCGTGCAGCATGCTTGGCTGTTAATCTCGTCCCCCCCCCCCGTGCAGCACGCTGGAGGGCTTTTACGTGGACGACGCCTTACAAGGCCAAGGCATCTACACCTACGAGGACGGCGGCGTGCTGCACGGCACCTACGTGGACGGCGAGCTCAACGGCGCCGCCCTGGAGTACGACTCGGAGGGCCGGCTCATCTTTAAGGGCCAATACAAGGACAATAACCGCTGTGGACTCTGCTGGATCTTCTACCCCGTAAGACCACCCTTTCCCCTGAAACTAAAAGGGCGTCGCACAGAACTGCGTGCCTTTACTGACCTTATAAAGAGCATATTCATAATTTCATAGCTCTGTGAGAAGGTACCTTTCAAAAGACATCCATACAGCACATAAAATCAGTAATAGTGATTAAAAAATGATTATTCACTTTATTCAAAATTAAACCCAGGGTAACGTTTTGTTTGGACCTGTCCTGGGCTTTACTTTTCAAGTCCAAGTGTCTGCAAGCTATGGAAACCTGGGAAAATTGGTGCTGTGCTCTAGGTCTGTAAATCAGGCCGAAACATCATCATCATCTTAAATTGTGGCCTGTTATTAGGTTTAGACTGTGTCTGTCCACTGTCAATAGAAATTTCTGGGTGGTTGCTAGACCTGGACGATTTTATGGAGAGGATGCCAGGCCACCAGGAGAATCCCTCACTATCCGACCGGAAAATTAATGGGCCCTGTCAGAGATCCTGGGCTCGTAATGCCGGTTATTTAAATAACGGGCGTTTAACGAGACTCTGTGTCAGAAGTCGAAGGTGTGTGGGGGGGGGGATTTTGCTGGCATGGGCATTGGGGGGGAACATAGTCCGGCGTGACCTCAGTGCCATCCTACAAAAACAGGACCGAGGTGCTGTGGTGGGCGAAGTCAACGAGGAGGGCGAGATGACAGGAGAGAAGGTTGCCTATGTTTACCCGGATGGTCGCACCGCCCTGTACGGGAGCTTCGTGGAGGGTGAGCTGATGGAGTCCCGGCTGGCCACGCTGGTGTCCCAGGACAGCGGCCAGCCGCACGTCCAAGTCGTCCCCGACAGTGAGTGCCGTTACGCCGTGGACCCCGACCCCTCGTTCAGATTGGTTGACTTGTTGTATCTGTACTCGATCATAATGCCGCCCTGTGGTCCACACAGGCCCCACCTACACCTACGACAAGTCCACCTCCTCCTGCATCAGTGCCCACTGCCTGCTGCCGGATCCCTACGAGTCCCAACGGTACGCGTGACACTCACTTTATTGTCTGCAGCGCGTGTGTGGATCTGTGCCCGTGATCAGATGTGTTGGTCCCGCCTCCCCTAGTTGCTTGGACCCACCTCCTCTACAATCTGATTGGTCTTCTCTCTGAACCAATCATTTTTTTGTTCCGCCCTCAGAACATGCCATGAGCTGGGTGTGCGATCTGCCCAGCATCAGATCACAGATAGTTTGGATCCACTGGCCATTTTGAAATACTTCTCTCTGTAAAATTGCAAAGAATTGGGCGTTCTGGACAGATTGAGGTTCTGCATGGCGGTAATGAGAATGAACTGGAAGCTCCTGCATCTCGGGCTGTAATCCAGAACCCAGGCTGATGCCTACAGTCATTTATGCAAAAGGTGGTTCCTAGAGTTAGCTTCAGTGTGTTAGTTTATGGTGGAAGTTGGGCAAATCGCCATCTTGGTATGTCTCGTAGTGCATGTGTGTAGGCATGTATGTTCTTGTGCAGGATGTCCCCTGCCTTGTGTTCTGTGTTCTAGTCCTGTGCTACATAAGGAGTGGGGGATGGATGGATGGATGGATGATTGAGGCACAGCATTTGCGACCCTTTTTGGATCCCGTTGCTTTAAAATTGGGTCTCGCCCTGGGTCACGTCTCAGACCACCCTTCTGTGGATGATGTCATGTCCCTTTTCATCACTTCTGATTCATGCCGACTTATGAGACTCGACGCGCCTCGACCCCATGCTGTCCTTCCTCTCCCAGGCGTGTTGACCGTGATCTCTGCTGCCGACTGATTAAAAGACGAGCCCCTCTGCTGCCGTTTGCTTAAAGGTCACCGGTCCTCCTGTGATTTATTGGCGCCCGGCGAGCCGCCGGTGTCGTCTTCCTTCCTCCAGTTCTGGCCACAGTTTCACCACGGATTCCCCCCCCCCCCCCCGCATATGGACCATCCCGATAAAGAGCTTTTGCCAAGCAAATCTCTCACAGATGCCACAGGAACTGTACCCAGAAGGATGTGTACTGAACCTCTCTTTGCAGTATGTTTCATATAGCTGCGTAAAAAAGCCGTTACCTGCAAAGACATTTTTATCCTGTCTTCTGTAGGATGGTCATGTGATTCTGCTGTGGACTGTTAATAAGACTCTGGGAAAGTGTCCTTATCCATCCTCATTTTATTAAGTGGCTGTTTGACACTAGTCCTGTGTTTTTTTGTTTTTTTTTTCGTTTTTGTTTTTTTTAACGTAAGATTGCTTGTACTGTTACTTGTCAAGAGAAAGAAAATACTAGTTTGTCCATCCTGTCGTATAAAGGTAAAACAAAGCTGCTGCATTTTTTTTTATCAAAAATAAATAAAAAATGGCCGAAATTGAGTCTTTTAGGCTTTGTTTTATCTCATGATAAAATATCTTATTTCAATTATATTCGGTTATAAAGAAAACACCATTCGAAGAACTTCGAGGCCGTTTTTCTCGGTTTCAGTGTCGGCGTAGTTGCCGTGTTTGGCTTTTGTAGGTCGTCACGGAAATCGTTCTCTCACGAAGTCTAATCTTTCAAAGATTTTACATGCGTCGTAGCTTTCTTTGCTCCAGAACACCCATAAGCGGCACATGAAACAGGAGGTCTCCTCTGCCCCCCAGGGTTTACGTGGCCGAATCGTTAATCTCAGGAGCCGGAGAGGGGCTGTTTGCGAAGACGGACACGGAGCCCAACACGGTGATGGCTTTCTACAACGGAGTTCGCATCACGCACACAGAGGTGAGGGCGAATGCGGCACAGCACATGTTACCGGCAATTCTATTCAGATCATTATATCTTGAATAAGGTAAATCGACATTTCGTGGGACATCGAATATGCAACATGCCCCGAAGCAGAAATGTAGTAATGGAATGTGCTCAATCTTGTAGGTGGACAGCAGGGATTGGTCTTTGAATGGCAACACAATTTCTCTCGACGAGGACACAGTGATTGACGTCCCCGAACCATTCAACAACATCAAGATGTACTGCGCCTCGTTGGGCCACAAAGCAAACCACTCCTTCAACCCCAACTGCATCTATGACCCGTAAGTTTATAGGTGTACAGCTGCCTAATAGTTTTCAGAGTATTTGATAAACTGATTGTTGATTTCTCATCCATCCAAGTAAGGCGTAAGTAGTGTCAAATTTTAATAATGTCTTGATTTTGTTCAGTGCTTAATTGCTTACATTTTTTTGTATCTTCTTGATTGAACATTTTATTCACTTTTATAGTGCTTCTTAAATGAGTTGTTTACATTTGGTCATTTTCTTAATTTAGAATTTTGTTTACATTTGGTCATATCTTCTTAATTGAGTGTTTTGTTCACATTTGTTCAGTGCTTCTTAAATGGGCATTTTGTTTACATTTGTTCATATTTTCTTAATTTTTCTAAATTTGTTCAGTGTTTCTTAATTGAACGTTTTGCATGAACAGATTGACTTTTGGTTGGTTCAGAGTGTTCAGTGGTGGCTGGTTCTCGCCGTGCGTATTAAGGGTTACGGCTGTGATGTCACAGGCCACCGCTCATGCCCGCTCCTCCTCTCTGCAGATTCGTCCACCCTCGCTTCGGGCCCATCAAGTGCGTGCGCACGGTGCGCCCCGTGTGCCGGGACGAGGAGTTGACGGTGGCGTACGGCTACGACCACGCGGCCTCAGGGAAAAGTGGGTTGGAGGCCCCCGGCTGGTATAAGAGGGAGCTGCAGGTCCACCTGGATGGCCAGGCGTCCCGGTTGCAGTGAGACGGCCCCCACCCACCCCAACAGCTACACCGTATCGCCCCAGCCTCCACCCCACCCCCAGATGACTGCACCAGGGGCTACCACCACAGACCACACCACCACCGACACACAGCGCAGGAACTATGCACTACAGACCAACCAGGGATTCAAACTGCCTACTGCTGACGTCAGTCTTCAAGCCAACATGTCAGGATACAAGCAAAAAGGTTCTATTCCTTCATAAACACGTGGAACTGTCTTGCTGTATGCCTATTCTGTCATCCTTCCCTCACTCCTTAAATCTCTCTCTCCCCTTCGGTCTTTCACTCGTTCTCTCTGTATGCATGAATATTACATCCATAATAGTATCGTACGGTAAATGCTTTACACTGAAGCTCTATTGAGGCATTCCTGACTCGTCAGCAACTGCATAACCCGACTGGCCCAGTCAGCCGGGTCTCCCTCTGGCCTTCTGACCAGTAAGCGTTTAGCCTATAAATGTGTCTACATCCTCTACTCTGGTGCAGTGTTGTTTGGTTTTTGCTCTTTAAGTTTTTAGGGATTTTGACATCAAACCCCTCTCCCTAAAAAAGGAAAAAAAAAAAAAAAATGTTTGCACCCTCTTTCAACCGATTGCTTAACTGGCAATTCAAGGATCAGGAGTCGTCTGCCTGCTCATTTAAATGTTTATACAGCTTCTAAGCAGGCAGTCCACAAAGGGTTCTTTTTTTTTTTTTTTGAGAAAAGTGCCGAAAGTGGATGGATGAATGAATGAATTCTAGCATCTAAATGTTGGTATCAGAACAATTTTTAAGCCGCTGTTAAAAGGCATTTCTAATGAGGGGGTTTTGCACCCCTCTATGCATGTGGTCTTGTTTTGACTGAAGTATGATGTGTTAATTTAACTGTTTGTCATCTGCCGCCTTGAATCATGTCACACGCCACAAATACCATCATTATATATAAAATAAAAATGGGACTTAACTTGCAGCATTAGACCTGCTGAAATCCTAATAGAAGTATTATTTGTAGAAGTTTAATGAAATCTTAACGAAAAACAAAAAAGGAGAAAAAAAAAACCAAAACATTTTGCTTGCCCCAACTCGAAAATATTCAGGGCTGTAACTTTTTTTTTTATCCCCAATAACAAAAGCGTGAATTGTTGTGTGTATTACAGCAGGATTATACATGTTACATGCTATATGTATCAAATCTCTTTCCCCAGAAACACTTTATAATAAATTACATACATACATATATATATATGTATGTATGTATGTATGTATACACACACACACACACACACACACACACACACACACACACACACACACCTATGAAATGAATTTTTAGAAGTCCAAATTTGTGTGCGCTACACAACATCTCATTACACAGTTCTGATGACAGTTAGCCTGTATGTTTTTAGACGGATCTTTAAACTCCTCACTAAACAAACGGGGTTCTGACGTGTGTGCCGGACTGGGTTCTGAGCCCAGTGTAACTGATAATCTGTATGCAATCAAAAATTTGCGTCGGCAGTTTAGGTAGCCTAAGTCAAATGTGTATCAGGGCACCGACCAAAAGGAATACTTTTTCGATGTATGATGCATGTCAGATTTTCTCCTGTAGGTAGGAGTCGGCTTATTTTAAAAATTATTCACTTGAGATGAAGACACATAGAAAGATGAGATTAATGTCTAAATAGGTCCCATTTTTAAGTGGAATATGTCGTAGTACTGAGGGAGCACTTTGATGTCTATATATTTATTTGTCCCCTGCTTGGTTTGTGCATTTTGAAAAATCAGAGCTTGGATATATACTCATTTATATTCATTGCCCATGGGGTTATTTACAAATAAAAATATTAATAGTCTCTAGGTATTGATGTAATATCCAGTATGTTATCACCATTTTGAAATCCTCTGTCACACTTAAGTAGCTGTCCATGTGTAGCAATAACATCGAGGATTCAGAGTATTTGATGTAACTAAATGCTGTCACTTTTTTTTTCCCACTAACAGTCACAAATGATAAGGTAAACCCTTTGAGTAGTATTTAGTACTTGGGATTACTCAGGATAACAATGACATGGATACAGTATTTCTGCAACTGGTAAATTACATTTATAATTATGTTCTTTGATAAACAAATTAGGCAATTGCACACAATTCCTTTTTGTGATAATTAAATGCATTGACTAGTAAAGATTTTATTTACAGCACTATTTGAAGGCAAAGTAAATGAAACCATCATTGATCATGCTGTGTTGGTCATAAGTTGTGTTTTAAATTACGCATTTCAAATTGTCCAAATTGTGCAAAATGAAAATGTTTGTTTTACTAAACTTGTCAGCAATGGCATGTGACACAAGGGCAGTGGATACAACACCCCCCCCCCCCCTCAAAAATACTGTGTAGAGATGAAATGGTTGTACTGTACATGAAAATAGGAGGAGCTTGCACCGTGAAATTTGCAACAACCAGTATGTGTGTGTGACCTTATTGGGTTGTGAAACTTATTGAAAAGCACACAGAGACTTTAAGTTTCTCGAGGGAATCTGTGTACCGACTGTCACGGCTGACGAGCTCGGACGGGTCCATTTAAAGGGTTTATACTGTATTTATTGAGAGATGGTGTGTTTGTTAAAATGTTATCATCATACTAACAATCAGGTTACAACACCTTAGAGGCATAACGAGACAAAGTCTAAAAAAAAAAAAACTATATATACATATAGACACAAAACCTAGAGGTGCTACGGTGGAAGGTGGTGAAGCAGGTGGGCTTTGATCAAGTCATAGTCCAACACCTGTGATTCTTAAACGTAGTTCCGGGAGCCGACTCTGTAAGCCGGTTCTCGTTTCACTTAAAATCTTCATTTATCCAGTTAAATTCGGCTGTTAAGAAGTAACTGATTGATTACTACTAAGTGCGAGCTACTGATGGGAAGGAAAAATTATGCTGAGAGATTTATGCCGGCAGCTCAATATCAGGGGCTTTAAACTCAAACCTGAACCGGCGTTACACAGTGATTTTAGGTTAGAGAACGACTGCGTTAACAAACGAAACGTTTTGGATGTGTGGTCGTCCATACAAAGATTTCCAAGCCTTAGGTACGCGGGTCGCCGTTGCGGCCTGCGTTTGATCAAACCAAGCAGGTGAGCCGGCATGGCGTTGTTTACAAGACTTGATACCAGGATGACTGTGTGCAAGGGAGTGCAATGCGTGTGCGTTTTTACTCTTAGATGTGTAGGTGCGAGTGAATACGAGATGTGCTCAAAATGGCATCAGCAAGCCTTTAAAACAAGGTGTGTCTGGGATGACTCTTGTATTACATTTCAACATATAATAAAGTAATAATTACAACGATAAGCCATGTTGTCTTTTCATGTTGTTATTAGTGTCGAACGTTTTTAATGTCAAAAGTGTCAACTAGCATTAAAAAAATAATTGCTAATACCTAGCTTAGACCAGGGGTCCCAATCTCCAGTCCTGGGGGGCCGGAGCCCTGTGTAGCTCAATTTCCTGTTCCATCACAAATGATTTAGCTCAAGAGCTGTGCTGTAATTGGCACAAGGAGTTGGATCAGGCGTGTTAAATGAGGGTGAACCAAAAACTGTGTAGGGATCTGGCCCTCCAGGACGAGTTTGAGACCCCTGCCTTAAACTCCAGAGAGTATTTAGGATGTTAAGCAAGTGATTTTATATAT